TTTAGGACAGGCCTACAAAGTTATCATAGTGACTTTCTAAAACTATAGTTTCCTGCCGTGTAAAAAAGACTTGTACGAATATTGATTAATTTGGGATGATTATTCGTAATTTTGGATACCATGCTTTGAGAGCTGATAACTTTTGATACACTCTTGCTAGACTAGCTATAATTATTTTTATGCAAATAAAGTACAACTTTTATTATAATATTCTGCAGTTTCATGAGGTGGCAACATATAGTTTCCCTAAAACATGCGTCCAAAAATGGGTGGTGCCCGATTATTAATAGTTTACTCTAGATATTAGAGTAAATAAGTATTAGAGTTATCGATAAGTTATTAAGCCACACCCATTAACTTTAATATTACTGAAATGGCTAAATAAAGCTATTTCTAAGAACAATATTATTATTAAAAACATTATATAAACCTTGCTGCTTTCCAAAAGCTGAAAAAGTATAGTTTATATAGTGATTTTCGAGATACTACTGCTATAGTTATTTAACCATTATTAAAATTATGTAACCATTATGTGGGCATGGTCATGTTATCAATATTTTCTTCGATACTGATAAAATATTGATACCGCTGTATATTTATTAAATACTGTGAATTTTGATATATCACCCAGCACTAGTTCATGGTGGCAAGATAGCATGGTGGAGCATAGCAGAATGAAGTGAATCAAAGGAAAGTTGACTTTCTAGAGCTAGTTTAGATGATCTGGCATAATCAAAATTTTGATATTGCTAGATCATCTAAACTAATCTAGCAATATCAAAATTTTGATGTGGTAGATCATCTAAACTAGCTCTAGAATGTGCTCAGTTTTCCTTTGATTCACTCTATTCTGCCACATTGGCGCCAATTTGGCGGATCTAGCAGCCTAGGCACACACAAAAGTTTGTAAAATTAACTTTTTAATGTAAACTATGAAGCATGACTATGTAAACAGCGAAACATGACTGTGCAAACAACTTTTAAACAACAAAGCACTGGCAGATCCAGAAAAACTAAAAGGGGGTTCCATTTCACTTAAGTAGGTGTGGCTCATTAATTTTAATTAAAACATAGATATTAGAGTTTACAGGGATAGGAAACTTCTGATTGCGGTTGTATTATTTCCATTTTCCATTGAGTTTATATTGTAGCCTAGCAACGGAATAATTCTGATGCTTCCTTCCCTTTTTATGCAGCCCAAAAATTAGGTAATTAGCTATCTGGGCTGATATTTTCTACTGTCTCTACCTGATAAAAGCCTTTTTCTAAGATTTTATGTTGCGTAATTGTTACTCTAGAACAGTGCTTATGTATAAACTGTGATAGACTAGTGTGCCTACTTTATAAAACATCACATCTTCATGAAATGACACTGACATTTTTGCTTTGCCTTTTGACATCTGTATCTCAAACACATTTCTAAATACTTCACGACTAGCAATATAGACCAATTCTACCAGCAGTCCTCCAGGTCTTCCGACTTAAATCAGTCCTATGCATCACTTTGGTGGTGTTTTTACACACAAATAAAGCAAATTTGCAGTGTTTTGCTTCTACATGCCTATCTCAAGAACTGGATGTTCTAGTGCCTAAAGAGCCCCATCTACAGAAAGTTTATAACCTATCCCAGGTCTTCCACCAATTAGCAGTTGTTTTAAAATACTCTAAGTGCCTCAAAAATTTTTTTGTTCGAGACACATGAAATAAAGTGATGCATCATCAACATTCTAATTTTGAGGAGCCAAATAATGAAACAAACATTAGATAGCTGGAATAAAGGAAGAATACGGACATGGCTCCATTGCAAGTTCATTTTCAAGTTGATACAGTGGACGGCTGAAAGACGATGAGAAAGACCTGCTACATCACAGACTAGCCACCATTGCTCACTGTAAAAATAAAATTTACTGACAAGTGACAATTGGAAAAGAATTAATACGGTATGGGAAGGTAGCTTGCATGATTTCCTGCGAAAGGAAGTTTCCTATCCCTGTAACTCTAATATCTATGA